CGCCTCCATGAGGGAGGCCTCGTCCTCCTCCTCCTCGGCCCCCTTTTCCCGTTCAGCCCAACTCCCTCCCCTCCTCGCCTCCCTGCGTTCCGCTCACCCGTCCATGGCACACGAAGGCGACCCGAAGGGAAAGGGGAGTGCAGGCGCCGGAGTAGCAGGAGCGGACCCAACGGCTACGTGTTATATAGACTCACAAAATGGCGGCCCGGCTGGGTCCCGCCCTCAACCGCGGGTAAGGACCGGGACCCCATTGGCTGTCTCGGCTGTCGCCTTGACGAGGCGGGGCATCGGCTCCTCGCGGGCAGACGACGCAGAATCCCCGCCCCTCCTTCCCGAGCCCAGACTCTGATTGGCTGTAGCTTAGCAACGTAGGCACGATTAAGAGACGGCCCGCGAATCGATTGGTCAAAAGTAAGAGGTGAAGCCCAAGCGGCGGCCATTTTGAACGAGGTAATTCTTTTCAGTTCCTCGTTGCCCTTTTGTCTCGGGCAACATGGCCGACGCGGCCCTTTTGGGTATGGGCAAATGTCCTCCTTGCTTTGAGAGGCGGCCATGTTGGCTGCTGGCGTCGAAGCCGGGGCGGACATTTTGAGAAGCGGCAGAGTGCAAACTGGGCGAGTGAGTAAAAAATTGGCAAAGAAAGTTGCAAGCTTGTTTTACAAGCTCTAGAAATACAGTACAGTTGGGCCGATAACGCATTGTTATCATTTGCACACAGAGTTATGCATATATACATTTTGATTAATTTTGGCTAAGACTCTAAACACATGTATTAGTAAAATCCTGCACTCGCTTACTTCAAAGGACTTGCATATTTAATATTGTACTAGTTTTAATTACATTTTAATGCCCATTTTTGTACGTTTTTAATTGTATTGTTGTTGCTATTTAATTTGTAAACAGCTTAGTCTCCTATTTTTGGATGGAAAAGCAGGAATAATAATAATAATAATAATAATAATAATAATAATAATAATAATAATAGCAGCACACAGGAATTACATCCAAGTAAAAGTCCACCAAAAAGTGATACCTTTATTGGTCAGCCAAAATGTACAATATACCTGTTGCAAGCTTTCGAAGTTCCAGGGGCTTCTTCATCATCAGGCAAGGTGATACAAACCAAACAGGAGAAAAACAATTGGAGATGTTAGTCCAGGAGTAGGCAACCTAAGGCCCAGGGGCCGGATGCGCCCCCCCTAGGCCTTTGGACCAGCCCCAGGCCAGTCCTGCCGCCGCTGCCCCCCACCGCCCGCCATAATGATATTGATTATTGTTGTGATTACTTGTTCTTGGGGTTTTCTTGGCAAAATCTCCACAGGGGTTTTGCCATGGCTTTTCTGGGGTGCATGCATATTTTTTTTTAAATTTTTTTTTTAATTAAAATTTTATTTATTTATTTATTTATTTATGGTGCTTCGGGGGCCCCACCAATTGTCTGACAGACAGCAACCCGGTCCCCGGCTCAAAAAGGTTGCCTACCCCTGTGTTAGTCAGATGCCTGCATTTTGATGTTTCTGTCCTTAGTTAAGATGTTCTTGGGGTTTTCTTGGCAAAATCTTGGAGGGTATCTTTTGCAGGCTGGCCCCTCCTCCTCCTGGCCAATATGTGGATATTGGGAGGTTTTGGATTGCAAAAGAGGGGTCCCTGTTGAGATGCAAATAGATTTTAAATTTCCTGGACTTTGCAAATCTCCCTGGGCCAGGAGGACGATCCTGCCTAGAAAAGATATCCTCCTTCCCACCATATACCATCTTAACTGAACTAAATAATAATAATAATAATAATAATAATAATAATAATAATAATAATAATAATGTTTTACTTATATTTCCCGCCTCTCCCTACGGATCGAGGCAGGATTACACAATAAAATGAATACAATGTACAAAATATAAACAATAAAATAATAAAAATCAGAACAATAATAATAGGCTAAGAAAATAGAATACAATATAATAAAATAAATGAAAATAAAATAAAATAGGATAGGATAAAATAAAATAGCCAATCATTGTCAGAGTCTAAAAATCTGGAAGATCAGATGGATAGGCCTGCCGGAAGAGCTCCATCTTAAGTACCTTCTTGAAGGCTTCTAGAGCATGGGTCGGCAACCTACGGCCTACAGGCCGGGTCCAGCCCCCCAAGGCCTTTGGACCGGCCCCCGCCGCCACGCATGCATCACGGCCGACATTTTGTTTTCCAAAATGGCGGCCACGACTCACTCGCGCATGCACAGTACTCCAGAAGTACTGCACATGTGCGCGCACTGCCATTTCCCACCACCACCACCGTCGGCCCGCGGAAGACCAGGGGATCCCCAGACCGGCCACAGGTAAGGGGAACTTGCCGACCCCTGTTCTAGAGTAATAATAAGACTGATCTCCTCCAGCAGGCTGTTCCACAACTTGGGAGCTGCGACTGTAAATTATTTTTGGGAAGTCATGGTAAGTCTAGTTTTATGGTGTTCTAATAACTTCTTCCCAGATATTCTGAGAGTGTGGGACAGATTATGTGGGGAGAGGCGTTCCTTCAAGTAACTCGGGCCCAAGCCATGTAGGGCTTTAAAGGTAATAACCAACGCTTTGTACTGCGCCCAGAAGCTAATCAGCAGCCAGTGAAGAGATTTTAATATAGATGTTATATGGTGCGACCTAGATGTTCCGGTGACCAATCTGGCTGCCACATTTTGAACCAGTTGAAGCTTCCGAACGTGGTACAGAGGTAGCCCCATGTAAAGCGCATTACAG